GAGGAGGAGGAGGAGGGGGAGGAGGAGGAGCAGGAGCAGGAGGATGGGGAGGGGGAGGGGGAGGAGAAGCAGAAGGAGGGGAGGAGGGCATCATTGGCTGACGCAATCGTCGCATCCCTCCTCCGACTCCCGTGATCCATTCCCCATCCTTGAATGCTGTCCTCCAGGACCTCACCGAGGAGGAATGGATGGCACTCGAGGACGCGGAGAAAGGCGTAATCGAGGGGAGGTTGCTCTTCTCCTCGGAGGGGGTTTTGCTCCGTCGAGCGGATCTCACTTCATCCTGTGTTCTCACTCTCCTTGTTCTCATCTTCATCCTCCTCCTTCTCGAGCCTCTTCCTCCTCCTCCTCCTCCTCCCCTCCTGTCCTCCTCGCGCCTCCTCCTCGAACCGTCTTCGACTCGCTCATCCCCTTTCGCTTGTCTCGACAGCAAGGGCGCTGCTCAGACTCCGAGTGCGCGCTGGTCCATTCGCCCACCTTTCTCCGCGAAGCCTGGGGCATCGGGGACCCGCAGGAAACTAGGCGAATCGATCCATGGAAATTCAAGGGGGCGCTCGAGGGCGAGATGAGGAGGAGGAGCAAGATAGGATGAAGAGAGAGGAGGAAGAGGGGGGAGGAGGAGGAGGAGGAGGAGGAGGAGGAGGAGGAGGGGGAGGAGGAGGAGGAGGAGTAGTAAGATGATCTGCCCCCACCCTCCCCCACCCAACCACCAGAGGATACAGAAGAGGAAGACGATATGAAGAAGTGCGAATTGGATTGGGGGGAGTCTACCTTAATCGATAAAGCCACGGGAGACTACTTTGGTTTGCCGCCGTTGTCGCTCGCTGCCCCTCAGGGGGAGGGCGCCGTGGCGGCAGCGGCCGAGGAAGCGCAGGCGGTAGAGGCTGAGGAAGCGCAGGCGGTAGAGGCTGAGGAAGCCATCACGGCGGTAGAGGCTGAGGAAGCCATGGCGGAAGAGGCTGCCATCGATGTGACGGATGACGAAGCCCAGGCGGTAGAGGCTGAGGACGCCATGGCGGTAGAGGCTGAGGAAGCGCAGGCGGTAGAGGCTGAGGAAGCAGTGGCGGTAGGGGCCGAGGAAGCCATGGCGGTAGAGGCTGAGGAAGCCGCGGAGGCTGAGGAAGCCATGGCGGTAGAGGCTCAGGAAGCCCAGGCGGTAGAGGCTGAGGGCGCCATGGCGGTGGGGCCGACGCCGCCGCAGGCGGCTACGGCGAAGGCGGCTACGCCGAAGGCGGCGGGCGTGGCGAAGGCGGCTGTGGCGAAGGCGGCCACGCCGAAGGCGGAGGCTGCGACGCCGAAGGCGAAGGCGGCTGTGGCGAAGGCGGCTGCGGCGACGCCTGCGAAGGCGACGGCTGCGAAGGCGGCTGCGGCGGCGCCGACGCCTGCGAAGGCGGCTGCTGTGGCGAAGGCGGCTGTGGCGAAGGCGGCTGTGGCGAAGGCGGCTGCGGCTGCGCCGCCTGCGGCCGCGGCGAAGGCGGCTGCGCCGACGCCTGTGAAGGCGGCTGCGCCGAAGGCGGCTACGCCGACGCCTCGGCAGGCGGCTTCGGCGACTCCGAAGGCGGCTCCTTCGGATCCGACGGCGTCGTCAGGATCAGCGGCCTTGAGTTCGAGCGCTGCCTCGATGCTGTTCTACGACAGCCTGGTGGGCGGCACAAAGAAGAAGAGCAGCAGGCGCCATACGAAGCACAAGAAAACGAAGAATGAGAAAAAACATAAGCGAGCTGCGGCTGAAGTTCCAGTGGTGCCAGTGGCGCCGCCGCGTCCAGAGGTGTCGACGCCGTCGTGGCTCGACCCAGGGGCAGGCGAGAAGAAGAAGAAGAAGGAGAAACGATCACCAGCGGCGCCTAAGCAGACACCGAAGAAGGCGGCCAAGACCGAGTCCTCGGTCGACTCTCCTGCATCCGAGGTGCCTCCTGATGAGGGGAGTGCGGGGCCCGCTCCTAGCGAGGATCCTGCTGCAGAGGCTCCCGAGGACGCGGCTGGCAATGCTCCCGAGGCAGCGGCTGGAGAGGCTCCCGATGAAGCGGCTGGCGAGACTCCCGAGGAAGCGGCTGGCGAGGCTGCAGGCGGAGAAGCTGCTGGCGAGGCTGGCGGGGAGACGGCTGGCGGGGAGACGGATGCCATGAAGGACGCGCCAGGCCACGCAAAGGGCTCCTTCACGCTGAACGGCAAGAAGTACGACGTGGGCTGCAAGAAGAGGACGGGCCACATTGGCATCTCGATCCGCATGGCGGGCGAGCCCAAGTGGAGCCAGATCACGCAGGTGCGCGACAACATGTGGGGGGATCGCTGCATGGACATCATGAAATGCGAGGGTGACAGGTCGGCGTGCACCGCGACGGCTGCGAACCACGTTGTGCACCAGGTGTCGGTTGACAAGGCCACGTCGCGCTCCGAGGGCGAGGCTTCGAGGGACAAGATTCTGGCGAAGATCGGGATTGGCAAAGGTGCCAAAGGGCAGTCCGATCGATCGATCGAACCGCTAGCAGTCAGTGCTTGAGTGCTCTGAGGAGGGAGGAGGGAGAGGAGGATAGGGAGTAGCTGGAGGGGGATCGCGCGCTATGGGAGGTGCCCAGAAGTCCTGAACACGTACATCTACATGTACACGTACATTGTGATATGCTTTGGTGGGAACGGGAGGGGGGCATGCCGCGAGGCCGATGAGACTGATGAGGACAAAGAGGTAAAACTGAGATGAGCATCAGTGCGCCGTCAGCAGCACTTCGAAGGATCCTCGTTGTCGGACAGTGGACGGAGGTGACGAGACGGAAGAGGAGTATGAGGCGGAGCTAGGAGAAGGATGAAGGGGATCTGAGGAGGAAAGGTAGGATGAAGATCCACGAGGAGGTTGCAAGAAGCGAGATCGGGAGGCGACGCGATGATGTTCGGTATCGCCTTCGTCTTGAGCATCGGCGTTTGCGCCGAGTACTCGAGGCGCGGCCCTGGGGGGGGTGTGGAAGCAGTTGACGGGAGGATGAGGGGAGGAGACGGATTCGGAGCAGGAGCAGGAGACGATCGATGAGGAGGAGGAGGGCGAGCAGGATGAGGATGAGGAGGAGGAGGAGGAGGAGCAGGAAGAGCTATCGCGATGCGCTTAAGTAAATGAGGAGGAGGACCCTCGAGGAGGAGGAGGAGGAGGAGGAGGGGGAGGAGGAGGAGGAGGAGGTGGAGGATGATGGCAACGAATATGATGCGGAGCGAATGAGGAAACTCGAGGAGGATGAAGGATGACCGAGGAGGATCTCGACTTGACCCCGCCCAGCGCTGCAAGGGGAGAGGGGAGGTGAGCTGCCCGCGCGACCGCATGCACCTGGACGGCGGCAACCTCGAGGGGAGAGATATAGCGCGCGTGGCAAGGGGATGGGCCGCAGAGAGTTGGTCGGGGAGGGCTTCAGGAGAGGATGGCGTTGAGGTCAGGCCGAGGATGAGGATGAAAAGGAGGGGCCTCGGATCGATATGCGCGTGACTCGAACGAGCACGCACCACTAAAGCTAGAACTCGATGAACACGGTGATATGATAGAATAGCAGATCTGAGATAGGATCGAGGATGAGGACGGGATAGGAGGTGGATGGGAGGAGGATGAGGCAGATCGGAACGATGATGAGAATGGGATCCACGAAGATCCAACTTAAGGCCTATGGGGCTCCTCAAGGGGGTCCTCATCGATCCCTCTCATACTCGATCTTCCTACTCCTCGGCCCTGCTCCTCCTCGATCCTACTCCTCCTGCTCCTCGATCCTGCTCCTGCTCCTGGATCCTACTCCTCGATCCTCCTCCTCCTCCTCCTCCTCCTCCTCCTCCTCCATATCTCCTCCGCGCCTGCGCCTGCGCGTGAACACGCAGGCTTTTCAGGTTCTCGAGCGCTGGGGCCCTCCCGCACTTGACGACCGCAGACCGTGCGGTATACCGTGCAGCAGGCGAATAGGGATGCACGGGGAAAAGGGCGTGGTCACGTGAGTCAGCGTTAAAGCATGCGGGCTTCAGGCGTGGTGGCTAAGATGAGCCAGGGGAGGAGAGGACAGGAATGATGAGGAAGAGGATGAGGAGGATAGGAGGAGGATGGGGAGGATAGGAAGATAGGATGGTGAGGAGGATGAGGAGGATGGCGAGGATGCTTAGAAGGATATGATATGATGATGATGATGATGATGATGATGATGATGATGATGATGGTGATGAAAATGATGATGATAATGATGATGATGATGATGATGATGATGATGGTGATGATGATGACGATGATGATGATGGTGATGGTGATGGTGATGGTGATGGTGATGGTGAGGATGAGAATGATGATGATAATGAAGATGATGAGGAGAATGAGGATGATGAGGAGAATGAGGATGAGGATGTTGAGGAGGATGGGGGGGATGAAGATATCATGAGTCGAGGCGCCCCCCCCCCCGTCTCCCCGCCGCTGGCGGCAGGTGCGCGTCGTGACCGCCGCGGCGGGAACCCCGAACAGAACGACATCGCGGCAAGAAGGCGGACCAATACACGCGACACTGCAAGCAAGCATCGGGCTCTTGGGCGCTGCAGGCCTATGGCTGCGGCCCAGGTTGGTGCCACGGTTTCTCGGGTTATGGTTATGGGTATGGTTTTGGTGATGGATTCGTGGTTGGTATATGACTTGGTATGGTGCGGCATGGTTTGGCATGGTTTGGCATGGTTTGGCATGGTTTAGCATGGTTTGAATTGGTTTGCATGGTTTGGCATGGTTTGCATGGTTTGAATGGTTTGTATGGTTTGGTATGGTTTGGCATGGTTTGGCATGGTTTGAACGGTTTGCATGGAATGATGGAATGATGGTTTGCATGGTTTGGTATGGTTTGGCATGGTTTAACATGGTTTGAATGGAATGATGGAAAGATGGAATGATGGTTTGCATGGTTTGGCATGGTTTGGCATGGTTTGACATGGTTTGAATGGAATGATGGATTGATGGAATGATGGAATGATATGGTTTGGCATGGTTTAACATGGTTTGAATGGAATGATGGAATGATGGAATGATGGAATGATGGTTTGGCATGGTTTGACATGGTTTGAATGGTTTGAATGAATGATGGAAAGATGGAATGATGGTTTTGGCATGGTTTAACATGGTTTGAATGGAATGATGGAAAGATGGAATGATGGTTTGCATGGTTTGGCATGGTTGGACATGGTTTGGCATGGTTTCATGGTTTGTATGGAATGATGGAATGATGGAATGATGGAATGATGGTTTGGCATGGTTTGGCATGGTTTGCATGGTTTGCATGGAATGATGGAATGATGGTTTGCATGGTTTGGCATGGTTTGGCATGGTTTGCATGGTTTGGCATGGTTTGTCATGGTTTGGCATGGTTTGCACGGTTTGGATGTTTTCCGCATGCGCAAGTACCCCCCCCCCCCTAGACGCACGTGCGCGCGCGCTAAGTACCCCCCCCCCATATCGCGCGTGCCCTAAGTACCCCCCCCCCCCCCCCCCCCCCCCCCCCCCTCCGCACGCGCGCGCGCGCGCTAAGTACCCCCCCACCCCCCCCCCCCCCGCACGTGCCCCTATATAGATATAGGTACCCCCCCCCCCCCGTGCCGGCGGTGCATGCGCGCATGCAAAAAATCAGGGGGGCGCCTCGATACTGTGCAGTACTGGTGTTGTGCCGCGCGCGGCTTTCGCAGCAGGCGAATAGGGCGTGGCCACGTGTCTCTGTATATATATATATGGACAACCAATAAAAAATAGGAGGAGGACAGTGTAGCGGGCAGCAGGGTGGGTGGATATCGGAGACGATGGAACAATGAGGAGGATGGGGTAGCACGGATGGCGGACCGATGTAGGACCCTATCTTGCAACATGCACATGCTTGGATAGCGCATGCGAATCGTTGTGCAGCGTTGCTGGTCGATCGGTCTCCTCATATATATGGTCACTCGATCTGCGTACGTGTCTCTGATGTATATGGAATGTAGATGCATGCGAAACCTTACTCGAGGAGGGGAGGCGATGCCACCGAAAGGCTCGAAGAAAGCCACGAAGAAGGACAAGAACGCCGCGCAGGGCGGCGCCAGGACGGATGAGGAGAAAGTGGCTCGCAAAGCAAACTCAGAGCACGAAAACGCTTTGAACCGTCTTCGCCAGGCAATGAAGCGTGAACGCCCCGAGCTTTGGAAGGACTACAAACACGCGGGGTGGGAGCAGAAGAAGAGGTGGAAAGAGATTTGGGAAACCGCGGGCTCGTTCGACTCGATCCAAGAGCGTAAGTCCGAGACCCAGTCAAATACGGCCCGCGAGGACACTGTGGGAAACTGGTTCCTGGGGAAAAATCACCCGGTGTGTAGGCCATGCCCTGGCCATATTTTGCGTCCTCCCCCCTCCTCTCCCCGTTGACATCATGCATGAATTTTTGATTCAATATCTATGTCTTTTTCGCTAGGTTTACTTACGATGAGCTGCTCGCGGATTGCAGGTGGACGGTGGAGAACGCGCACACAGAGTACGGGATACGGCCGCGACTTGTCTTTTTTTTTGCGCGGGAGTAAGAGGGGGGGGAGTCGGATGAGGAGGAGGGGGATGTGGAAGAGGATGTGGACGGTGATGATGATGATGATGCTGATGATGACGATGATGATGATGATGATGATGATGATGATGATGATTAGGAGGAGGAGGAGGAGGAGGAGGAGGAGGAATGTCAGGAGGAAGTGGATGAGGAGGACGAGGATCATGAGGATTGCAGCAGAGGAGGGCGCAGGATAGGCAGCGAGAAGAAGGACGCGGAACGATGGAAGGATGATGGTTGTGATATATCCTTCGCCCCCATCCCCCCCTTCGCTCGCAGTGCCAAGCATCGCTGCGACAGCATCGTGCACTTCTGCAAAAAGATGCCAAAGCAGTTCATCAAGGTGGGATTGGGGTTGCGCAGCCAGGGATGATGGCGAGTATGAGGAGGAGGAGGAGGAGGAGGAGGAGGAGGAGGAGGATGAGGAGGAGGAGGTTGAGGAGGATGAGGAGAATGATGAGGATGGGATGACATAGGTACAGGATGAGGAGTATCAGGCCTGGAGGATGGATGGGGAGCAGCAGGATGATATTATGACAGAATGCGAGGGTGACGAGGATGGGAGGCAACATGAGGAGGGTGAGGAGGATGAGGAGGATGAGAGGATGAGAAAGATCATGATTGGGATCAGGACGATGGAAATGAGGAGGGTGATGAGGAAGATGATGAGGATGAGAATGATGAGGAGCATGAGGATGATGATGAGGAGTCGCACCAGAATCAGCAGCGGCCGCATGGGGAGGAACACCCGCAGCACAAGGAGCTCTTGTACAAGAAGTTGGCGATGTCGGAGCTTGCTCGCATGGACCGCTGCTGCATTCTCACCTCCAGATCCTTCCTCATCATCATCTTCCTCCTCCTCCTCCTCCTCCTCCTCCTCCTCTCACCTCCACCCTCCCTGCTCCTCCTCCTCCTCCTCCTCCTCCTCCTCCTCCTCCTCCATCCTCCC